GGGGGGGGGGGTGTCCTGGTTCCATTTCTCATATGGTCACAGGGCTAGGGAGTGAATGAAACAGAGGCTGGGACCCTGGGCCTGAAGAACTAAAAGCAGTGGGGGCAGGTAGGGGGCACAGCGGGTGTGGGTGGGGACCTCAAAGGCACTTGCTGATCTTGGCTGCTTGGGTGGAAAAATTGTAAACAGCCAAAGAATTTTGTTTGCTTGCATGGGGCGGGGGGAGGCAGGCCAGGTCCAAGGCAGAGAGCCTGGGAGGAGGCAGAGGTGCATCCCGGAAGCCCAGAAGGTCACGCAGAGGTGTGTCCCCTCCCCAACCCTACGGGAAGGCCCCTGGTTCTCCCAGTGACCCCTACCATTCCCTGCCAGTCAGCCAGCCAGGTAGGCACACCAGGCCCTGAGGCTCAGGAAAGAGGCACGACCCCACCCTGTCGGGGCACAGATTCCTCTACCCCGGGGCACTTGGCAGGAGATGGCAGCAGAACTATGTGTACTTGCCACTGCCACACGGCCTCCCTTGCTGACCCCTGAGCGGCTGCTGGCCTCCCTTGAGGATGCCTGCAGGAGGATGCCTTTTGGGGAGGTGTTGAGGGGTGGAAGCCCATCCTCCAGTCCTGGCACATACACCCAGGTAGACCTGAGGTCCCCACTCAGCCATTGTCAACATTCAGCTCCTCTAAAAAAGTACCCCTGGCAGTCCAGACAAGGTGCGTCCCCAGACTCAGCTTCAAGCCAAGCCCCCAGACCCTTCCCAGCTGAGGCTCCGAGATGAAGTGTAGGAGCCCTGTCCCATCTGTGAGAGACACTCCCTTGGGGACAGGTGGTGCCTGGGTGGGCCCTCACCCCGCAGTGCACAGTAGACCTCCTGCCTGCCCTGCCTGCCCCTCTCTGGCCCTCCTCTACTGCCCCAGGCTGGCTGTTATGGCAACCACTGCCAGCCAAGTGGCAGAGGTACTGGCCTGAGTGGTGAGGAAGGACTGGGACTGGGTCCTGAGGGCCCATCAGGCCTCCAGCTGAGAACCCCCTCCCCTGACCTCCAACCCTCCCATCCCAGCTGGCTCCTGGGGACTGAGGTGGCAGCTGGGCCCCTCGTTACCCTCCGCCAGCGCCCCAGCTGTGGAAGGACAGGTGAAGAACCTGAGTCCCCCAGGGGTGCCTCTACCAGCTGTTCCTCCTGCCTGGGGCTGGGGGCTCTTTCTTGCTCCTTCCTCCTTCACCTTGACTGGTAGCCCCTTTCAGACTGCTGCTTGGGGCGCCCTACTGCTGTGAGGCCCCACGGGGGGGGTCATCCCTACCCACCCCTCCTGTGTGCCCCCTCCACTTTGGCCCGGCCACCATCTCCAGCCGTCCAGGCTGCCTGCCCAGTCACCCGATCTGCCCGCCCCATAAACTTGACGGCGCGTGTGGGGCGGTGGCTGGCTTGGCGGGGGCAGGGGCTGCTTCTTAAAGGGGCCGTTGGAGGGTGCCCTTCGCCCCCTAGGCTTCTCCCCTTCTGCGGGGTGAGAAGGGGCTGGGGGAGGGGCGCTGCTGCGGGAGCTCTTGGGGGCCTTTGGGAAGGTAGCTGGATGTTTTGTGGCAGAACCCCCAGACCAGAAGAGGCAGCGGCGAGTGTCAGTGGAGGGGAGGAGGGAGGTGGGGGCCCCCGCACGGAAGGGGTCCCGCAGCTGTGGAGCTGGGCAGGGGCGGGGGGAGCGGTCTGGGACGTGCCTCAGCAGCTGTGCCCCTTGCTTCATCCCACCCCAGGACCTTGCCCCACGCCAGGGCTCTGGTGCCCCGCACCTGCACAGCCTGCCTCTGGGAGGACGGTGGCCATTGAGGCCAGAGCCTGGCCCCATCTGAGGGGTCCCGGGAAGGGCTCTGGCTCGGAGAAGTGGAGGGGCTCAAAGATGGGGACGCCCTGAGGCTGAGGGCAGGGGAGGGAGAGGCTCAGGGAGGCGGGCTGCTCCCTTAGCTGGGGGGAGAGGCTGCCTCAGGCCCTTGGCTCTCCCCACTTGATTTCTCTTGGGTCTGAAGTCTGAGCTCACAGAATTTCATTGTGTGACCAGCCCAGTCCACCCTCGGGTGGGGAGAGAAGCCAGCTTGAGCTGGGCTGTTTGATCCCAGCAGTCCCGGGTCAGAGCCCAGGTTCCTGCCCAGCCCCTGGGGCTCCTGGGCAGCACTTCTCTCTCTGAGAAATGGGCTCCAGGAGTGTCTCCGAGTTGAAGGCAGGGATGGACTCTGAGGTCGTTTTTGCTCACCTGCCTGTCCAAATAGACACGCATACACTTGTGTGTGCACACACATTCACACATGCACGCACTTGTGACACACATACGGACATGTCTGTGAGTGCACACACCACACAGACACTGCATAAACACACATGCAATGCTGCATGTGCACACATGCGTGCCGCATATCTACATATGTAATACACATGCCACGTGGCCTCACAGGCGTGTATGTGATACACACGACACACGTGCAATACAGATACGCAAAGGGACCCTCAGAACATTCACACTCAAGGGCTCCCGCACCGTTGGCTCCAGCCCCAAAGGTGCCTCTGTCGCTGAGGCTGCGGGTGCACAGCCACCTCCAGAGGCCTGACCCCTCCTGTTGTGCTCTCCCACCACCGGCTTGTTTTGCTCGCTGCACTTGGAGCCCTCTAAAACGCACCGATCTGAGTCCTTGTTGGCGCTCTGCCACCTCCTGTCTGTGTCCCCCAGTGTCCCCAGCCCAAGTCCCAGGCTGGCACGAAGTAGGCGCACCGAGTGTGTGAATTAATGTCTGTGAGTGTGTATGTGGGAGGGCGGGGTACTGGGGAGGGTGACGTGGTGGGGCGGGTGCCTGCCAGTGTGGGGGTGCCCCAAGGGTGTGCCCAGCGTGGGTGTGTCTGTGATTGTGGCCAGGCAGGGCACCCTCGGAGGGAGGGGAGGACTCGGAAGCGGAATGCGACCCCCCAGCTTCCTTCCCCTGGGGGCTGTAATCTGATCCCCCGGGACTCCCCCAGCTCAGCTGCCCTCCCTTGCCCTCTCTGCAACTCGTCTTCCAGATCCCAGGGCAGAGTCCAGGGCGGCTCAAGGCTCCTCCACACGCGCCTGCCGAGGCCTGCTGAGCCCTGGGCGCCCTGAGCGGGATGGGGCGGCCTGGGGCTGCCGCCATTCCCTCAGCCCTGGTCCTGCTCTGCACGGCGGTGCTGAGGGCCGCCTCCCCCAGCCCTCCCCGCCTCCGGTTCTCCTTCCAAGGTAGGTGCACCTGGCAGGCGGGAGGCCCAGCTCAGGTGGGCAGGGAAGGGGCCCAGTGCGGGAGGGGGCGCTGGGTTGTCGCACCACCTGACCTGTGTGCCACCTGACCCGGCTGGATTGGGAGCACTCAGCCATCTCCAGTTAACCCTGTCCTGGCCTCAGCCCACATTCCCCTCTGCTTTCCCAGGAAGACCCTTTCTGTCCCCATGGCAACAGATCCTGCCTCTGTACCATCCCCTGCTCCCAGGGAGCTGAGGCGTGGGGGCCATTAGAGCTCCTTGCACACCCCACACAGGAGCGGTTACTAGGCAGTGGCATGGCCCTGAGCTCAGGCTCCTGGCGGGGACGCCTCAGCCTGGGTTGGGGTTCTGGCTTTCCCTGTATGCCTGGCCTCCCCCAGAACCCTGGCCTCCCAGAGTGCCTGCCTGGAGACCCTGCTTGTCCGAGCACGCCCAGGAGCCCAACCTGCCTTCCCTTGGGCGGGGGGTGGCTGCACTGCCCACCCTGGAAGCTTCGCGCCTGGGTGGGCCTTCACCAATGTAAACTCGCATAGGTGTGAATTCAGGTGTGCGTGGGCCGGGTCACACGTACAACCTTGGCCTGTGAGAGAGACAAGAGGCAGGGCCCGGGAAAGCGTCCGTTAGAATCCTCAGTGGCGTCCCCTCTGCAGAGCTCCAGGCCCAGCACGGCCTCCGGACCTTCCGGCTGCCGAGAACCTGCTGCTACGAAGCTCTGCTGGTGGATGAGGAGCGTGGACGGCTGTTCGTGGGCGCTGAGAATCACGTGGCCTCCCTCAGCCTGGACAACATCAGCAAGCGGGCCAAGAAGGTGCCAGGGGCCCCCAGCCTTGGTGGTGCTTCCCAGGGAGAGCGCCCTGGGAAGAACTGCAGACTGCTTGGCGAGACCAGGGGGATGGGTCCCCTGAGCGGACACCCTAGCCAGAGAGCACCTGAAGTCCCTGACCCGTGTTCCCCCTTCCCGATCCCCCATAGCTGGCCTGGCCGGCCCCTGTGGAATGGCGAGAGGAGTGCAACTGGGCGGGGAAGGACATTGGTGTGAGTGTTGGCTGCCCGGGTGGGAGCAGGAGGGTCAGCCCCTCACTCCATAGACGGGGCAGTGCTGAAACAGAGGCCTGTCTGTTCTGGCAGGGATGGGGGCAGGGGGTGAGGTGGCTGAAGTCTGGAGGTAGTGAGTCAGGGTGGGGGCTCATGTGATTCTTTTGGGTTCCTGTGAGTCACAGGGGGCAACGCAGGCCTGTGTTTCCCTGTGTACCCATGCTAGTGAGAGGTGGGCTGGGTGGGTCACCAACGGCACCCAGGTCCCTGTAGCCCATGTTGGTACTTGCCTGGGCTGATGCAGAAGAAAGGAAGGGGTGGGGGTGCCACTGGTGAGCTGGGACCCCTTAAGGTCGCCTCCCTGGGGGAGGCCTCATTGTCCCTGCTCCCGCCTGCCTACCAGACCGAGTGCATGAACTTCGTGAAGCTGCTGCATGCCTACAACCGCACTCACTTGCTGGCCTGTGGCACCGGGGCCTTCCACCCCACCTGTGCCTTTGTGGAAGTGGGCCACCGGCTGGAGGTAAGGCCAGATGCAGGCAGAGAGGGTGGCTGGGAGAGTAAGGGAGGGCCTGGCAGTAACAACTTCCCCACCTCCAGGAGCCCATGCTCCGCCTGGACCTTCGAAGGCTAGAGGATGGCAAGGGCAAGAGTCCTTATGACCCCAGGCACCGTGCGGCCTCCGTGCTGGTGGGTGAGTCCAAAGGCTGGGATCCCAACAGAACTTTGGGACCCCTCAGAGACTCTAGAACCTCACAAAGTCCCAAGACCCTCCCAGGAGCCCCAGGGATCCCCATAGCCTCATTGACTCCCCGGGGCCCCCACAGCTCCGCAGGCCTCCCCACCCGAGAGCCTTCAGCTTGGCTGAGCAGCCCTCGCCCTGTCTGCAGAGGAAGAGCTGTATTCTGGGGTGGCCGCAGACCTCATGGGCCGGGACTTCACCATCTTCCGCAGCCTGGGCCAGCGTCCGAGTCTCCGAACAGAGCCACACGACTCCCGCTGGCTCAATGGTGAGAGACTAGTGGGAGTGGCAGGAGGAGACCCTCATCCCCAACAGGGCAGGTACTGAGTAAAGCCCATAAAATAAGTGAGTAATGGGCACAGCCAGGTCTCAGCAAATACTACCAAGTGGCAGGCCCTGTGGGGGGTATAGCCCATACCCTCTTTGAGTTCTCAGACCTCCTAACAAATTATAAAATCACTTCCAATGGCAATCAGACCAATGAGAGAATAAAGAGGGGGGGAGGGGAAAGGGTGACCAGGTGCAGGTGGTGGGAGGGTTGGGTAAAGAAAGCCACTCTGCTGACCCAGGTGTGAGCTATTTCCCAAAGCACAGCAGGACCGAGGGAAGAGCATTCCAGGCAGGGGGAATAGCTAGTGCAAAGGCCTTGGGGCAGGAACATGCCAAGAAACAGGTTTATGAAGGGAGCAATGATAAGGGACCTGAACTGTCATGGGCCAGGATAGTTTATTCTGATGGGACCAAGCAGAGTGTTTGAAACAGGAGTGGGGCGCCTGCTTCCTGCTAGAGAATAAGATTCATGAGTGAAAGTAAAAGCGGAGACTCCATGCCTCTCCTTTCTTAAACCACTGACCTGGGGAACTATCAGGGCAAGGCGGGGGTGGGGGGCGCCCAGGAAGCCACGGTCTCTGCCGCCCTCTCGTGGCGGCTCCCTGACTCGCAGGCCCTGGCCTTTCAGCCCATCCCCGCGCCGTCTGAACTTGGCTGTGGAGGCCGGGGAGTCAGGTGCTGCCCCACCGGCTCCTGGGAGAGGGAGCAGTGGGGCATGTGGGTCGCACAGCAGATCCGGGGGTCGGGGCCAGGGCCTCTCTGACTCCGTGCCTCTTCCTGTGGCCAGAGCCCAAGTTCATTAAGGTGTTTTGGATTCCGGAGAGTGAGAACCCGGACGATGACAAGATCTTCTTCTTCTTTCGTGAGTCAGCAGTGGAGGCCTCGCAGGCACTGGGCCGCCTGTCCGTGTCCCGCATCGGCCAGATCTGCCGGGTGAGGAGTCCCTGAGCCACATCTAGTGACCCCACTCCACCCGTTTGCCTTTGGGGCCTTGACCTCATCCCTTCCAATTGACCCCACAGAATGACGTGGGCGGCCAGCGTAGCCTGGTCAACAAGTGGACCACATTCCTGAAGGCGCGGCTGGTGTGCTCAGTGCCGGGCATCGAGGGTGACACACACTTTGACCAGCTCCGTGAGTGCCAGGCGTGAGGGATGGACTGGGGGGAGGGGTGCAGGGGCACAGGCGCAGGAGCTTGGCCGCCTGCGGGCTGCGTGCCCTCTTCCAACCAGGCCCCTTGCCCACAGAGGACGTGTTCCTGCTGTCCTCCAGGGACCGCTGGACCCCGCTGCTCTATGCCGTCTTCTCCACCTCCAGGTGAGGGGCGGGGGTGGCCGTGTGGGGCAGCCTGGGCCCCGCGGGGCCTGCCGCTCTACCGGTGCTCTCGCCTGCAGCGGCGTCTTCCAGGGCTCTGCCGTGTGCGTGTACAGCATGAACGACGTGCGCCGGGCCTTCCTGGGACCCTTTGCCCACAAGGAGGGGCCCACGCACCAGTGGGTGTCTTACCAGGGCCGTGTCCCCTACCCCCGGCCCGGCATGGTATGTAGCCCAGGGACCCCGACCACAGCCCACTAAATGCCTCAGAGATGGAGAACTTGGCCTGGGGTCTTCTTAGTTAAATGTGGTTTCTACCGTTTGTTGTTGGTGAAAAAAAAGTCAACTTCATCAGACAGGGCTCCGCAGGGTAAGGCCACGTCTCCTCCTCAGACTCCCAAAGGCAGGGCTGGGTCTCCTCTCTTAGATTCCCAGGACAGGGCCCTGTCCAAACCCTGCCCCCCAACACACACACACACACACACAGACACACACACACACACACTCTCCAGGCTCCCAGAGGTCTCTCGTGGAGGACTGCTGACCAACCCCTCATACCACATCCCTGTTGTGCCTCCTCCCCACCCCCCAGTGCCCCAGCAAGACATTTGGCACCTTCAGTTCTACCAAGGACTTTCCTGATGACGTCATCCAGTTTGCCAGGAACCATCCCCTCATGTACAATTCCATCCTGCCCATGGGGGGGCGCCCTCTCTTCCTACAAGTGGGTGCCGGGTACACCTTCACCCAGATTGTCGCAGACCGAGTAGCAGCTGCTGACGGACACTACGACGTCCTCTTCATTGGCACAGGTCAGGGTCCTGCCATGACCACCCACCAGACCCAGTCCAGGCTCCACGGTCTGTTAGAAGCTCCCCTTGTTCAGTCCCCTCTCCACGCCTTTGCCTGGGCTCTGCCCCCGTCTCCTGGATGCTGCTCTGATTGTTCCAACCCACGTTCTCCATCAACCCAACCACGCTGAGGGTAGAGACCTCCAAGGGGAAGAGATCCCGGGCCCTCGCTGTCCAGGAACACAAAGAGCCACTCACCCCTCCTCACCCCTGCAGACACTGGCACAGTGCTGAAGGTGATCTCAGTCCCCAAGGGCAGCCAGACTGATGACGAGGGGCTGCTCCTGGAGGAGCTGCAGGTGTTCGAGGTGAGGCCTAGCACCCATCATCTGAGGTACCCCCACTCCATTCAGCCCTGACCCCCAGCACCCCTTCTCTCTCTCTTAGGACTCTGCACCTGTCACCACCATGCAAATCTCCTCCAAGAGGGTAAGTGACCAGAAGTCTCCAGGGTGGAATGGACCGAGTGGATGCCCCCAACCCCGCATGTCCTTTGGTAGTTTGCGGCCCCAGGTTTGAGTGTAGGCTCTGCCTTTGTTAGACTGTGTGACCCAAGACCTCAGTGTTCTCATCTGTCAAGTGGGGAAGGGATCCCTGACGGATGGGAGGCGGGCACGGGGTCTTCCGCAGTCAGCCCCGAGCCCCTCGTGCCCCCTAGCACCAGCTGTACGTAGCCTCGCGGAGCGCAGTGGCCCAGATCCCGTTGTACCGCTGTGCTGCCCACGGCCTGGCCTGTGCCGAATGCTGCCTGGCGCGTGACCCCTACTGCGCCTGGGACGGGGCCAGGTGCACTCGCTTCCAGCCTAGTGCCAAGAGGTGGGCAGGCGCGGGGCGGGCCGGGGCGGGCCGCCGGGAGGGGTCCCTGGTGAAAAGAAGGGCTGGGGAGGCTCCAGTATTATGTCCCCCAGGCGGTTCCGGCGGCAAGACATAAAGAACGGCGACCCCAGGACGCTGTGCTCCGGCGGTGAGTGCCCAGCGGTCCTCCCCTCACCCCTTGGAGATGCCCCACCCCCACTGCCCGGCCTGAATCTGACACCCTCGCTGCCCCCAGACTCGTCCCCTCCCGCGCTGCTGGAGCGGAAGGTGTTCGGCGTGGAGGGAGGCAGCGCCTTCCTGGAGTGTGAGCCCCGCTCGCTGCAGGCGCACGTGGAGTGGACCTTCCAGCGCGCAGGGGAGGGGGCCAGCACCCCGGTGAGCCTGGGGGCAGTGAGGGTGGGGTGGGGAGAGTCCCCAGCCAGGCCCGTGTCCATCCCCCTACGGCCCTGACTAATGAGGCCCCACATCTAGATGAGGTCCAGCCCCGCCCCGTGAGGTTCTGCCTGCCCGGACCCCTTAGGTCCAGTTTGGCCCCTCATCCTGGTGAGGCCCCATTCCTGCCAACTAGGCTCCTGACCGCTCCCTCTCCCGCATCTCCCCCTCTTTACCAACCCCCCAAAAGCCCTG